TCAGAACAACAACAACAACCTGTAACATATCAGAACAACAACGACAACCTTTAACATATCAGAACAACAACGACAACCTGTAACATATCAGAACAACAACAACAACCTGTAACATATCAGAACAACAAGAACAACCTGTAACATATCAGAACAACAACGACAACCTGTAACATATCAGAACAACAACGACAACCTGTAACATATCAGAACAACAACAACAACCTGTAAACATAACATATCAAGAACAACAACGACAACCTGTAACATATCAGAACAACAACAACAACCTGTAACATATCAGAACAACAACGACAACCTTTAACATATCAGAACAACAACGACAACCTGTAACATATCAGAACAACAACAACAACCTGTAACATATCAGAACAACAACGACAACCTTTAACATATCAGAACAACAACGACAACCTTTAACATATCAGTACAACAACAACAACCTGTAACATATCAGTACAACAACAACAACCTGTAACATATCAGAACAACAACAACAACCTTTAACATATCAGAACAACAAGAACAACCTGTAACATATCAGAACAACAACCTTTAACATATCAGAACAACAACAACAACCTTTAACATATCAGAACAACAACAACAACCTTTAACATATCAGAACAACAAGAACAACCTGTAACATATCAGAACAACAACCTTTAACATATCAGAACAACAACAACAACCTTTAACATATCAGAACAACAACAACAACCTGTAACATATCAGTACAACAACCTTTAACATATCAGTACAATAACAACAACCTTTAACATATCAGTACAACTACCTGTAACATATCAGTACAACAACCTTTAACATATCAGTACAACTACCTGTAACATATCAGTACAACAACCTTTAACATATCAGTACAACAACCTTTAACATATCAGTACAATAACAACAACCTTTAACATATCAGTACAACAACCTTTAACATATCAGTACAACAACGACAACCTTTAACATATCAGAACAACAACAACAACCTTTAACATATCAGAACAACAACAACAACCTTTAACATATCAGAACAACAACAACAACCTTTAACATATCAGAACAACAACAACAACCTTTAACATATCAGAACAACAACCTTTAACATATCAGAACAACAACAACAACCTGTAACATATCAGTACAACTACCTTTAACATATCAGTACAACTACCTTTAACATATCAGTACAACTACCTTTAACATATCAGTACAACTACCTTTAACATATCAGTACAACTACCTTTAACATATCAGTACAACAACCTTTAACATATCAGTACAACAACCTTTAACATATCAGAACAACAACCTTTAACATATCAGTACAACAACCTTTAACATATCAGAACAACAACAACAACCTTTAACATATCAGTACAACAACCTTTAACATATCAGAACAACAACAACAACCTGTAACATATCAGTACAACTACCTTTAACATATCAGTACAACTACCTTTAACATATCAGTACAACAACCTTTAACATATCAGTACAACAACCTTTAACATATCAGAACAACAACAACAACCTGTAACATATCAGAACAACAACAACAACCTTTAACATATCAGTACAACAACCTGTAACATATCAGTACAACAACCTGTAACATATCAGTACAACAACAACAACCTTTAACATATCAGTACAACAACAACAACCTGTAACATATCAGAACAACAACAACAACCTTTAACATATCAGTACAACAACCTGTAACATATCAGTACAACAACCTTTAACATATCAGAACAACAACAACAACCTTTAACATATCAGAACAACAACAACAACCTTTAACATATCAGTACAACTACCTGTAACATATCAGTACAACAACCTGTAACATATCAGTACAACTACCTGTAACATATCAGTACAACAACCTTTAACATATCAGTACAACTACCTGTAACATATCAGTACAACAACCTTTAACATATCAGTACAACAACCTTTAACATATCAGTACAATAACAACAACCTTTAACATATCAGTACAACAACCTTTAACATATCAGTACAACAACCTTTAACATATCAGAACAACTACCTTTAACATATCAGTACAACAACCTTTAACATATCAGTACAACAACCTTTAACATATCAGTACAACAACCTTTAACATATCAGTACAACAACCTTTAACATATCAGTACAACAACCTTTAACATATCAGTACAACAACCTTTAACATATCAGTACAACAACCTTTAACATATCAGTACAACAACCTTTAACATATCAGTACAACAACCTTTAACATATCAGTACAACAACCTTTAACATATCAGTACAACTACCTTTAACATATCAGTACAACTACCTTTAACATATCAGTACAACAACCTTTAACATATCAGTACAACAACCTTTAACATATCAGAACAACAACAACAACCTGTAACATATCAGAACAACAACAACAACCTTTAACATATCAGTACAACAACCTGTAACATATCAGTACAACAACCTGTAACATATCAGTACAACAACAACAACCTTTAACATATCAGTACAACAACAACAACCTGTAACATATCAGAACAACAACAACAACCTTTAACATATCAGTACAACAACCTGTAACATATCAGTACAACAACCTTTAACATATCAGAACAACAACAACAACCTTTAACATATCAGAACAACAACAACAACCTTTAACATATCAGTACAACAACCTGTAACATATCAGTACAACAACCTTTAACATATCAGAACAACAACAACAACCTGTAACATATCAGTACAACAACCTGTAACATATCAGTACAACTACCTGTAACATATCAGTACAACAACCTGTAACATATCAGTACAACTACCTGTAACATATCAGTACAACAACCTTTAACATATCAGTACAACTACCTGTAACATATCAGTACAACAACCTTTAACATATCAGTACAACAACCTTTAACATATCAGTACAATAACAACAACCTTTAACATATCAGTACAACAACCTTTAACATATCAGTACAACAACCTTTAACATATCAGTACAACAACCTTTAACATATCAGTACAACAACCTTTAACATATCAGTACAACAACCTTTAACATATCAGTACAACAACCTTTAACATATCAGTACAACAACCTTTAACATATCAGTACAACAACCTTTAACATATCAGTACAACAACCTTTAACATATCAGTACAATAACAACAACCTTTAACATATCAGTACAATAACAACAACCTTTAACATATCAGTACAACTACCTGTAACATATCAGTACAACAACCTTTAACATATCAGTACAACTACCTGTAACATATCAGTACAACAACCTTTAACATATCAGTACAACAACCTTTAACATATCAGTACAATAACAACAACCTTTAACATATCAGTACAACAACCTTTAACATATCAGTACAACAAAAAAGCAACCACATATCAGTACAACTACCTTAAACATATCAGTACAACAACCTTTAACATATCAGTACAATAACAACAACCTTTAACATATCAGTACAACAACCTTTAACATATCAGTACAACAACCACTAAACATATCAGTACAATAACAACAACTTTAACATATCATGTACAACAACCTTTAACATATCAGTACAACAACCTTTAACATATCAGTACAATAACAACAACCTTTAACATATCAGTACAATAACAACAACCTTTAACATATCAGTACAACTACCTGTAACATATCAGTACAACAACCTTTAACATATCAGTACAATAACAACAACCTTTAACATATCAGTACAATAACAACAACCTTTAACATATCAGTACAACTACCTGTAACATATCAGTACAACAACCTTTAACATATCAGTACAACTACCTGTAACATATCAGTACAACAACCTTTAACATATCAGTACAACAACCTTTAACATATCAGTACAATAACAACAACCTTTAACATATCAGTACAACAACCTTTAACATATCAGTACAACAACCTTTAACATATCAGTACAACTACCTTTAACATATCAGTACAACAACCTTTAACATATCAGTACAATAACAACAACCTTTAACATATCAGTACAACAACCTTTAACATATCAGTACAACAACCTTTAACATATCAGTACAATAACAACAACCTTTAACATATCAGTACAACAACCTTTAACATATCAGTACAACAACCTTTAACATATCAGTACAACTACCTTTAACATATCAGTACAACAACCTTTAACATATCAGTACAACTACCTTTAACATATCAGTACAACAACCTTTAACATATCAGTACAACTACCTTTAACATATCAGTACAACAACCTGTAACATATCAGTACAACAACCTTTAACATATCAGTACAATAACAACAACCTTTAACATATCAGTACAACAACCTTTAACATATCAGTACAACAACCTTTAACATATCAGTACAACAACCTTTAACATATCAGTACAACAACCTTTAACATATCAGTACAACAACCTTTAACATATCAGTACAACAACCTTTAACATATAAGTACAACCACATTAACCTTCCGACAGACATAGAGTAACTCACCAAAATGAGTGAAATCCATGGGTTCATGAGTACGATAGTGAGCACCAGGAATGTGACTAGCAGCACACATATAATGGACAGCATGAGGTAGAATCGTAGATTAATGTACTGCTCGTAAAATGTAAATGGCACTCCGATGGGAAAATTTGGCAGACCTTTATTTGAGAATTCATCACAGATTTCTCGAATTTGCTGTAAATTGAACAATAAAAAATTTTAAAATGTGGTTATGTGAGGCTGCATTTACTCAAAGCTGTTGAATGTTTGGATGCATCAAATACATACAGATTTGTTAATCAATAAATCATCAAATGTTTGAAAAAAACTGATCAAAATAAAGGACAAGAAATACTTACAGTTATCACACTAATGACTTCCTCAGTTGTGGAAATGTTTGTCAGGTAGAACGGCATCTGGGCGTACATCAGGAGCTGCGATTTGTGGACTGAAATGTGAGAAGGAAAAAACCTCATGAACACGTAGGTGAACACAAGCGAAAACAAACAACTCTTGCCATGCCAAACTTTAACCGCATTCAAATAATCTCTCTTGCAGGAAATGAAAAATCAAAAATCAAAAAACAAAACCAAACAAAATCCACTTTAACAACAAGCAAAAAACTAACAAAATAGTTCATACTTTAACAGCATAGAAGAACCCAACAAAACAAATAAAACTTTAACAACATAGAAGAACCAACAAAATAAATACAACTTTAACAACATAGAAGAACCAACAAAATAAATACAACTTTAACAACATAGAAGAACCAACAAAATAAATACAACTTTAACAACATAGAAGAACCAACAAAATAAATACAACTTTAACAACACAGAAGAACCAACAAAATAAATACAACTTTAACAACATAGAAGAACCAACAAAATAAATACAACTTTAACAACATAGAAGAACCAACAAAATAAATACAACTTTAACAACATAGAAGAACCAACAAAATAAATACAACTTTAACAACATAGAAGAACCAACAAAATAAATACAACTTTAACAACATAGAAGAACCAACAAAATAAATACAACTTTAACAACATAGAAGAACCAACAAAATAAATACAACTTTAACAACATTCAAATAACATCTTGAGCAGGAAAAAAAATGTTATCAAATTTTAACAATTTCTTAAAAAATGTCTAACAGATAAGCAGATCTGCAAACTGAACCCAGATTTAACCTCCAAAAAAAAAACTAGTAAGAAAGATAAACGAAAAAAGATTCCAGCAAGCGATGAGAAATTAATTTAAAAAACCAAACATTAGCAACAACCAAATCAAATCGTCACCAACAGGGGACTAATTTAGAAATTTAAACCAACAAAAAATTTAACAAAATTCAGACACGTTCTCAAGTGAGAAATGAAAAATTTACCTTCAAAATCTAAGTCGTTGGGATCATGCAACCAGTATTTTGTCATGGGATGGAAGTTGGCCATCGAAGCTGCGTATGCCATGGCGTCATTAGCGGTCCAGGCAGTCAGGTAGTTGTAGAAGGCAGGAGCGTAAATGTTTCCGTTGTCATCCACCAGGCGAATATGTGTGACCTTCACATGTAAACAGGGGTCAAACAAATACATTTTAGCAATGGAGCAGACTTCAGAAAATGTTATTAAATTTACTTACTGGACAAAGAATCAAGTACAGGAATGAAAATACATAAACACAATTTTGAAAACGCACAAAGTTGTAATTTCAAGAACGAAAACTATGATGGAAAGGAGAGGCCAACAATGGACACCACAATAAATGGGTAGAAACTAAAACATCTCTCTTATCTTGGTCATGCAAGAACAAATGGTAGCAGAAGTTAAGCGGAACTTAAAACATGACCAGGAAAAGAACTGGCAAAAAACTATATGTTTTTAACAACAAAACTAATATTAACATCAAGAGAGTTTAACAAAACACTGAAACTGAGAACTGTGGGATGTTATGTTTATTGAACATTACAATTTGGCATATAAACACAGACAGTGAACATGCAAATTAGTAATTGGACTGAGACCCACAGAATAAACAGATGAATGCGCTATATTTCACAAAAAGAAAATCAATCAAACATAGTTTCTAGACATACCAGCAAAGAAAATGGAACTGATGAGAGATACACTGCTAGACACAAGGAAAGTATTTGGATACAGGTTTTTGCTTTACCTGCTCTTTATTGATTGGATTGTCCACATCGCCAGTTTGCACCAACAGTTTGTATGCAAGCACTGTCTCTTCTGTTGCATTTTCCTTCCATCCAGACATGGACACCAGTTTGTTTTGGAAGTCCTTGTCGAATGCCCTCTGCAGGTCTGAGAGAAAAGAAAAGACACCGAGTTCTGCATCAGCTATGAGTTTATTCCAGAGCATAGTTGGTAAAAATTGATTTGAAGCTCGTTGGTAAAGATAAACTTATAACTGAAAAGTCCACATATGACCTATTCTTCTTCAGTATTTTTAACCCACACGTGACCTGTGGCATGAAATTTGAGCATAAATGTAACCGAACTTGTATATCAAGGATATATTGGCTAGATGTTGGTCACATGACTCGCTGAGTGTCGATTGGTCTACAAAAAACTTGGAGCATAGCATCAAATGTCAAATGCATTTCTATTTCCTCTTCTTCTTTAGTTCTGTTCTGCCTTTCAGGGTCAGGTTTTGAAGAGGCCCCAGGGTAGAGCTTTAGTATCTGCTACATGGAGGCAGGTATTTGCAGCCTCTGCTATTCCATCTATCCATTGATTGCGTGGTCACCCTCTGGCTCTGCGTTTGTTATATCTAAGTGACAAGGCTCTCTGTTGTGCACTGTTTGGTTCTGGTGCTAGTCTCAACACATGTCCCTTTGCACTTCAGGTCTTGAAAAAAAGGGTCCATTATTGTTTTGTTTACTTCAAGAATATCAACTACATTAAAATTTAAAAAAAAAAAAAAAGTCGACTATATAGGATTGCAGCCTAAAAGATTGACATCCAGTGACTTCAAGAACCACTATTCAGATGCACATTCAATAGCAACGAATCCAAGAAACCTTATTCAACCTACAGAACTATGATACTGAGTACTGTGTGGTTACTAATAACCTACTGTCTGGTGTGGTAGAAAATCACAGTACTTTCAGAAAATGTATAGCTATTTAACACTTCAAGCAGTAACATTTGTGAAACATATACTCACCAAGCAACCACTGCCTGAAGAGATGCAGCCAGAATGAGGGCAGAGAACCATCTTCCCGCTTGATTATTTTGTGTACTTTGAGAAAATGTATAGCTATTTAACACTTCAAGCAGTAACATTTGTGAAACATATACTCACCAAGCAACCACTGCCTGAAGAGATGCAGCCAGAATGAGGGCAGAGAACCATCTTCCCGCTTGATTATTTTGTGTACTTTGAGAAAAGCACTGTGATATTGGTATAGCAGCTGCTGATTGTTGGCATAATCAAAATTGCCCTGAAAATTTTGGGAAGAACAGATACAACATGGTGACAATCAAAAATTACCCTGCAATGTTTAGGGAAGAATGTGATCATACCTTAATCTACAGACACTTACACAACAGATAACTCAGGTGTGATTGGATTTTATAGTGAAGAAAAGTATAGTCTCAGTGACAGCAGACAGTATAGTGGCAACTTTAGTCTCAGTGACAGCAGTACAGTATAGTGGCAACTTATAGTCTCAGTGACAGCATACAGTATAGTGGCATCTTATAGTCTCAGTGACAGCATACAGTATAGTGACATCTTATAGTCTCAGTGACAGCATACAGTATAGTGGCATCTTATAGTCTCAGTGACAGCATACAGTATAGTGACATCTTATAGTCTCAGTGACACCATACAGTATAGTGGCATCTTATAGTCTCAGTGACAGCATACAGTATAGTGGCATCTTATAGTCTCAGTGACAGCAGACAGTATAGTGGCATCTTATAGTCTCAGTGACAGCAGACAGTATAGTGGCAAATTATAGTCTCAGTGACAGCAGACAGTATAGTGGCATCTTATAGTCTCAGTGACAGCAGACAGTATAGTGGCAACTTATAGTCTGAGTGACAGCAGACAGTATAGTGGCATCTTAAAGTCTAAGTGACAGCAGACAGTATAGTGGCATCTTATAGTCTCAGTGACAGCAGACAGTGTAGTGGCAACTTATAGTCTCAGTGACAGCAGACAGTATAGTGGCAACTTATAGTCTCAGTGACAGCAGACAGTATAGTGGCATCTTATAGTCTCAGTGACAGCAGACAGTATAGTGGCAATCTTATAGTCTCAGTGACAGCATACAGTATAGTGGCATCTTATAGTCTCAGTGACAGCAGACAGTATAGTGGCATCTTATAGTCTCAGTGACAGCAGACAGTATAGTGGCATCTTATAGTCTCAGTGACAGCATACAGTATAGTGGCATCTTACAGATCATGATCCAAGACCATGATCTAAACAATATTAATTGACAGCATAAACTGCAGTGTCTCTGAAACTGTTCAGTCAGCATATTATATTGTCTGCACTCTCAGTGCTCCATGGCTTGTTACTGTTCTGTCCTCTCAGTGCTCAGCATGGCATGTTATAGTCTGTCTTTTTTCTCACTGCTCCATGGCATGTTAGCTGTCCGGTCTCTCACTGCTCCAGTGACAGTTTAGACTGTCTGTCTCTCACTGCCTTCCACAGCTGCAGTTACTGTCTGTCTCTCACTGCCTCCATGACATATTACGTCTGTCTCTCACTGCTCCATGGCATGTTACTGTCTGTCTCTCACTGCTCCACAGCTTGTTACTGTCTGCCTCTCACTGCTCCATGACATATTACTGTCTGTCTCTCACTGCTCCATGGCATGTTACTGTCTGTCTCTCAATGCTCCATGGCTTGTTACTGTCTGTCTCTCACTGCTCCATGGCATGTTACTGTCTGTCTCTCACTGCTCCACGGCATGTTACTGTCTGTCTCTCACTGCTCCACAGCCTGTTACTGTCTGTCTCTCACTGCTCCACAGCCTGTTACTGTCTGTCTCTCACTGCTCCAAGACATGTTACTGTCTGTCTCTTACTGCTCCACAGCATGTTACTGTCTGTCTCTCACTGCTCCATGGCATGTTACTGTCTGTCTCTCACTGCTCCATGACATGTTACTGTCTGTCTCTCACTGCTCCACAGCATGTTACTGTCTGTCTCTCACTGCTCCATGGCATGTTACTGTCTGTCTCTCACTGCTCCATGGCATGTTACTGTCTGTCTCTCACTGCTCCACAGCCTGTTACTGTCTGTCTCTCACTGCTCCACAGCCTGTTACTGCCTGTCTCTCACTGCTCCATGGCTTGTTACTGTCTGTCTCTCACTGCTCCATGGCATGTTACTGTCTGTCTCTCACTGCTCCATGGCATGTTACTGTCTGTCTCTCACTGCTCCACAGCATATTACTGTCTGTCTCTCACTGCTCCATGGCATGTTTCTGTCTGTCTCTCTCTGCTCCACAGCATATTACTGTCTGTCTCTCACTGCTCCATGGCATATTACTGTCTGTCTCTCAATGCTCCACAGCTTGTAACTGTCTGTCTCTCACTGCTCCACAGCATATTACTGTCTGTCTCTCACTGCTCCATGGCATGTTTCTGTCTGTCTCTCTCTGCTCCACAGCATATTACTGTCTGTCTCTCACTGCTCCATGGCATATTACTGTCTGTCTCTCAATGCTCCACAGCTTGTAACTGTCTGTCTCTCACTGCTCCATGATGCGAACACTGTGGATTTACAAAGGAAAAGAGAGCAGGTGGAGATGAGGAAGATGTGAAGAATAAGAAGGAAGAGGAAAACTTGGGATGAGAAGGAGAAGAATAAAGAGAAGAACAAGAAGAAGATACATGTTATCAACTATCTTTAACATTTAACCAGACATCCTTCGAAAGATAAACTAACTAGGCCCTACCTGAGTTACTGCATTGATGCTGTAGAAGCCGAAGAACTTAGACTGGGCCTGCAGAAACTCAAACTCGGGTGTGCCTCTCGGCACCACATCGGTTAGGTCAAGGCCATCCTTCACCTGTGCAGTGCCCCAAGCGCCCAAGATCAGAAGAACCAGGAAAGATGCTATTACTGTCACCTGTAGGAGTTCACCAACAAAGGAAATATGCAATGACTCAGCTAGGATCCCTCCCCGAATAGGATCAACTGAACACAGTCGAAGACCAGCAGGCAATGTCGGTTGAATTGTTTATACCAAAGCTACCGAATTGTCGTTTCTAACCTAGAAATCATATTTCCAATCATACGACTCTCAATTTGTTTGCGTATCCTTCCTGTTTGCCGTCTTTTTCTCTTTATCTTCTTCTGCTTCTTCTTTTTCTTAGCGTTCATTGACTGTAAACTCTAGCGGAAAGCTTTGGTCGTTCGTCCACTTCTGGACTTTGGTCTTCTTCCAGTACTAAGAATTTAAGATTTTGTGTGTACGTCCTGTTTGTGGTCGAATTATTTCATCTCCTTCCTCCCCCTCCTTTGTGTGTGTGTGTGTGTGTGTGTGTGTGTGTGTGGTGTGTGTGCGTGCGTGCGTGTGTGTG